TGAAGACATCCCAAAATCACTGATACAACTGAATTAGAAAGGTTACATACTATCAGTATATTTCCCTGAGAAACATGAAAATCAAAAAATGGTGTTGCTACTATTGTGGCCTTTTGACATGCTCACTACATAAAAAACAACAACTTGCTGCTTTTCTCCATTCTTACCGATTTCTATCCTTGCTTCACATTCCTCTATACACTTTCTTATTGATTCTTGTTCTGTGAGCTGAAAAACAAAACAACACACAAAGTCTTAAAGATGCTATAAAGCCATTTTCACTTTAAAAAAAAATGCATATTAGAGAGCAGAGTGTTGTTCACACCTTTTGGTTCTGTCTGAACAGAGTGCGGGCCTCCTGCAGTATGTACTTCCTCTCTGTCTCCGTGTCACTCGCAACACCACTCTGTGCTTGCCAGGTTCGGGCAATGCGAAAAACGCGCATGTACAGCGACAGCACAGTGGTACGGGTGGAGGCAGTCATCGGGGCTCCGAATCTGAGGGAAAAAAAACAAAAGATACCTGCAAAATAACGTTTTTACTGCATTATCTGTTTGTGTTCCGTCCCCCACATCGTGCCCCTGAATTAGATAAGCTGAAGATGGATGGATGCTCTTTACTTACAGCCTTTATTACTCGATTATACCACTGGTGGTTAGTTAGCTAGATGTGACATTACTTATTGCTCTTTTCTTTAACTACTAGGACTTTAATTAAGACCTTTACTGCACAATTAAGACATGAAGTGCATTATAATGAGAAACATAACAATAATGTGCATGATAAGCAAGCAATTAGTAAATGAATATATGAACATCTTTCCAGTACTGTGGAAAAGTCTTGAGTTTAAGCCAATAGAAACGTCAAAGATAACACAGCATCTTTGCATTAACAAGGTGATTCCCGAAAAGCGATTAGCTGAAAACTTGGCATAGCTCTCCATGGTGTCCAAAGGGTCCTTAAAAAATTGAGGAAACTAAATTGGTGTAGGATGAAAATATCCCTTACAAACTATCTAGAGCAGGTGAACAGTACCTGAATGTCACGTCCTTAAGAATAGGGGAAAAAAAATCCAGGAAAGACCAGACAGAGGACCTGAGAGATGCATCTGGCCCATTAGTCGATCCATCAACTGTTCACTGAAGCCACATTAAAAATGGTCTCAAGAAGCCTGGGGTATGCCAAATTACACAAGAACTGGACTGAAAAATCAGTGGCAGCAGAGCTTAATGGAGAGGAATCCAAATTTGCAAATTCATTTACAAATCATTGTTACTCTATGTACAAAGGAGGTCAGTAGAGAACAATGACAGTGAGTGTCTACAGCTCTCTGTGAAATGCCATGGATTGGCCTCCAGAGCATGGACCTCAACATGACTGAAACAGTGTGCGTGAACAGAAAATAAAAAACAAAACAAAAAAGAGATTTGAATGTCTTTCAAGACGCCTGGAGAACTATTCCTGGAGACTACTTAATAAAATGGCAAGAAAGCTGACTAAGAGACTTCAGGATGTTGTTGTGTTGAAGAATAAAGGTGGTCATATCAAATATTGACCTTCAAGGCCTGCAAAACTCGGTTTAGCCTTATATACTATATTTCTATTATATAAATGATTTTCAATTTTCCTTGCAAAATATAAAGAAAAGACTTGCACAGTACTGTAGTTTTAGATTTTTAAATTATAGTTAAATATAATAGCCCTATTCAACGCTAGATGCCACTAAAATCAACACTGAGTTATTAAACAAACTGTTACATGACTGACGGAGAGGTATTAACTGTATGTTCTAGTATGCGCGCAGACTGAATGACGTTGTATATTAAATAAAACCATTCTCGTTATTTGTACTCACTGATGTTTTATCATCAATTGCAACCTTGAAGCTAGCTCTTATTGTGACTGACCTAAACGTACAAAGACATGGACATTAAATTAAAGGCAACGTTACTGCCTGTCACATTAACAACTTAAATTCGAATTGTTGCGAAATACCTTAATCAACACCACAAACGAAGAATTGACATACCGCCTGTGTCTGAAGAAGAGGCTAATTTACCAGCCGCTTGCTAGGACAGTCGCCTAATGATGACGCTTACCCATGGCTAATCGGGAAGAAGCTAAATAATAAACACAGACATAAAAGAGTTCACATACTTTTAGTCAAAGTTGTATTTGTTTCACTTGTTAGTGGATAAAAAGTAGAAATAAGGCAGAAATTAATATAAACACCTCCACAGTTCAATGTGTATGAGCGATTGTAATTAATTTACAGTGGGGATTTTGAGTCATTTTTCATTTTGGATATTACTGTGATCTACAAAACATCGACTTTTTCCTTGTCATATGAATACTTCCATCAATTGGTTAAAATAAAAGGATGTACGTTAGCGTCGCAGACGCGAGGATCAGCTGTTGGGTGCTTGTAGGCAGGGAGGAAGTGATGCAGGAAAATGTCCATAATGTAGCTCCACTCAATGACTAAAAGGGGGAAGCACAAAGAAATTGGGTGCTTTAGTCCGAGCTGGCGTTTTAACTCACACCTAACAGCGAACACAACTCAAGATGGACTCTAAAGCTAGTTGCTAGCTTGTTGCTTATTTATTTTCTAAGCGTGGAACAGAATTCAACATTGATGTGGAAGTTTTTTTTGTGATCAGCTGCTAGCTAGTTAGCTAGCAATCTGAGTTAACGCGACGAGTTTGCTTCAGTTCGTATTTTTTGGCTAACTTCTTTAACTACTTAATTTCTTCAGCCATTCACAAAGTGATGTACATCCACACTCGACCGAATGTGTTTTCCCCTAAAGGTAAGTTTTTTACGGTGATAATTTTGTTATTTCTTGATGTCTTAATCGAAAAATACCTAGCATAGCCGAGAGCTAACTTTTAGTTAATCGAGCTGATGCTAGCTAGCTATGACGACGTCGCCAGGGCCGGGCAGTTGGGATGGAGCTGTTAAATGGCCCGGTGCGGTAATCTAATGTGGCTCAATAGCAGCTTAACAACGACTGCCATCTGAATTTGTGTGTAATAGTTAAAAGTCCGAGGTGCGGGTGATTATTTAATGGCGGTTTACACTATATTTTTGAGTGTTGTACTTGTGTTGTTATACTCACCCTCCCAACTAACGTTAACTTGATTGAAATTATATTATTGTAGATGTTAGTAAAGGGCCGCTGAGGATATATTGATATAACAGTGTTGCATATGTAACACAGTCGTATTCCAGTTCACCTCGGGACGAGCTAATAATCTGGTTAAACTACTGGCTGTATAGGTCACTAGGCTGCTTAGTGTTTACTAACTCCAGTGCCAGCTTATTGCGGATTATATTTGGCCAAATAAACAAAATTTAATAAATAGAAATTCAGACGGCCATCTGAGCTTAGTTAGGTGAACTTGGCCACAGCAGACCTGAGAGAGATTTGCCCCTACATGCCCCATGTATTGATCAGGACTGGCTTTTTGCCCTGATGTTGAATACATGCATTAAATATGAAGTCAAGGGTCGTATCACTGTTAGGTCAGTGATCACTGCAAAAAGTAGAAGTTGGTTTGAGAAGTTTCCTGAATTTGTGGCTTTTATATCACAAACTGGAATATTGCGGCCCTTTTGAGATGTAGTTCCTTAAAACCAACGGTGTCAAAGCTCAGCTTTTCACAGTTCACAGTATGCAACATAGATAACTTATTTGCAGTTATAAACAAGTAAATGAAAAATCCTGAAATAAGGCAAACTCTTTGCAAGTCCTCAAATTACATATTCATAGCATGTTGACCAAAATAGACCTGCAGGTTTGGAAATGATGAGCTATCACTTTCTGCTTATGATGACAAGATAATGTGTCTTTTCAGCATTGTGGATGGCAAGGTCACAATGATGGAGCTCAGTAGAAAGACAATGCCATCTGAAGGATTGTAAGTCAGCTATTTTATTAGTTATCAGACACATGATCACCTCATGTTTTTTCCGTCTGACTGATTAATTTCATTAACATGCATTCATCAAAGAAACATTTTTTAAGTTAAATGGGTAGGTAGAGAAAGCAGTTTACAAAGCAAGCTTTAGTTAGATTAATGTAAACTCCACTTTAGTTCCAACTTGGTCAGTATCTCATAATCTTGTATGCCTTTTGTGTTTTTTGCCACATTTTACTTGTTAGTCCTTTAGAAAACCTAGAAAGTCCTGTATGCTAACTTGCAAGATGCAAAATATCAGTATAAAAAAAATCCTAACTATATAGAGCCAGTGTAATTAACATATGTTGCTGTAAAATCCTAAAAAAGACATGGATAACCATAGTAGCCCTGTATTCTTGGTCCATGTTTGGTGTTTTCAGTGTTTTTTATTTTTCCATCTGCTTTCATTATTGCTAGTAGAGAATGAAGAAGCAATATTGTGCAATAATCTACTGCTTAGTATAAAATGAGGTAAAACTTCCTCTGTTCAAAGAGAACCCCCCCCTTACACACACACACACACACACACACACCGTTTATGTGAACACACCACAGAGGATGACCTATAAATGCAGTTATTTGTATCACAATATTTATACAATTGTATTCCTATTTTAATTACCTATAACTAACTCTATAGTAATTTCAAGAAAAGCTCCTACAGCTGTCATATAAGAGTTATATAGGTCTTCTAGCTTAACACACAACCCACCGGTAGGCTTCTGTGGTTAAGGGTGATACTCCTCTTGTACTACTTTTGACAAGGTTTCTATGGTAACCCGAACAATGTTTAAGCATTGTATTCATGCCTATAGATTATTTTTGTTTTGCTTTGTTTTTCAGGGTTTTTAAATCTTCCCATTGAAGACTTGGATCGTGGTAGATTTAGCAGAGGTAGCTTGACATTTTCTGTGTTCCTCTGTACTAATATCCACATTTTAACTTTTTTGTTGAGAGTTGCTGGGTGTAACTTTTTATTCTTAATAAATGTTCTTCCCCCTCAGGCTTGAGGGTATGTTGAGACGTCTTGTGAGGCCAGAGCAGAGGCGTCTAGGTGGTTCAGACGGGGACTGAAGGCGAGGAGGAAAGACAGACGAGGGACCGGGAGGAAGACATGGGCCAGTGTGTCACCAAGTGTAAGAATCCGACATCCTCGCTCGGCAGCAAGAGTGGAGATAAGGAAAGCGGAGGAAAGTCCCACAAGAAAGGTGGCAGCGCTGGTGGTGTCGGGAGCCACAAAGAGGATCCTGGCACCCAGTGTAGCAAAACCACCAATGAGCTGTCAAATGGCACCAAACCTTTAGAGGTCACAGTGGAGACGCCCATCATCACTGCAGGGGACACACGCAAGGATGAGCTCCTGGATGGAGACGGGCTGTCGGTCAAGCGCATTGAGGAGCTGTTCTGCTGTTACAAAGATGAACAGGAAGATGCCATCTTGGAAGAGGGCATGGAGAGGTTTTGTAATGACCTGTGCGTTGACCCGGCTGAGTTTCGTGTCCTGGTTCTTGCCTGGAAGTTTCAAGCAGCAACCATGTGCAAGTTTACAAGGTAAGGTGGAGTTTTGGAGAACAGGGCGTGTCGTCATTATCCATGTTTGTCAATCAGGATAAACTAGCATGACCACTACACAGTTATTGCTTCTGTGTGATTATAATGATACTGATAAGTATGTATCTTTGTCTGATGTGACCACAGCACATAGCTGTTGCTCTTATTTGTTTGTCTGACAGGTGTTAGACGATGAAAATGCTCATTAAAACAAGACTGCTCAAGTCCACATTTTTAAAAAGTCAGATTCATTTGTCACAGCTCATTCCTGTTAGTTAGTCTCACCATGTTTCACATCTTTCTTCATTGTAAGTCAAGCAAATAAAGGTCAAAAGGGGGGAGGGGGGGAATTTCCTTTTAAAATCTCAAATGAAATTTCCCAAGAAATGTTCCTCCATGAAACCAGTCCCTTTCTTCTCTGTAGCACATTGTCAGAAACATGTGATTAAGTTAGGCGGGATCCCTCTGGAATGAGGACAATCGCTGTATTATTGATGGTCTATTATATACAGTTTGATTACTGTGGGATTTGTTTACAGTAACACATTCAGTCAGTGTGATTAATACTTCCAAACTTGTTATCCATTTAAAAAACATTAAAACTGTTCTCAGACAGCCAGCAGTTTCCATCACTGCAGCAGGGTACAGTACAGTGTTGGCTACTTCTAGTTGTAGCAGCAACTACGTCATCGTCGGCTGCTGTCAATATAATATAATATAATCTCATCATGTGGATATATAGAGTGGGTTGCGCTTCAGAGGGAATGATAAGGGAATGTAATAAAGTTTTTTTCTTTTCTTAAAGTAGTATCTTAGAAGTTGTCATTGATTAGATCAGACTTTGAAGCTGATGTTTCTCCAGTGTTCTTTCTTTTCATGGATTTTTCTGTTTGTTCTTGGTGAATAGATATGCCCTTCAGATAGCTCAGGACCTGCAGTATCTTCTCCTGAATTGTTTCTTCTTGGGTTGATTCAGTGATTGCCAGTGAGCCACAGAGGCAGTTTTTTCTTTCTTTCTTTCTTTTTAAAAGTTGTACCATTGTGAACTCCCAATAGCAGTAGCACAGAGTGCTGGCAACCTTCCATCTCCTTGCTATGTTTACATTCAAAACAATGTAGGGATTGGTGGAATAACCACTCACAGCCTGGGCAAACGTTTAAACCCTCCTAACACAGATTTGCAAACAGCATGCGTGAGGGAGTTGTTATACAAAAGATCACTTTGCTTCTTGAGTAGGTAGCTTTTTACAGATACACTACTGCATTAGTGCTGTTGGTGCTATGCTTGATAGGAGATTAGATTTAGAGTCAAGAGTTAAAGGTGAAAACACAGATTATTTTTCTATTTCATGTAACTCTTCTCTTTAATTTAAAGCAGCCCATTTGTTCTCTTTTCTGTCTCGAAAGTTGACAAGTTCCTTGTGTATTCTGACAAATCTCCATTCTCCGTATGGCTCCTGCAACTACTGTGAGCCATGAAAGGCGTGAGGGCGAACCAAATTGTTGCAGGCAAACACATTGTGCATCACTAAGCTGTCCACTGGGCTTGGAGATTCGTTATACTGGCGTCCAGTCATCGGCATGAGTGATGATAAAGCTTGCTGCCACCCTCTGCTATTAGCTCACCATTTGGCAGTCGCCTTTAATGACAATATGATGGTATCAAAACACAGATGATTGCTCGTCCCTAATGCTGGCTAATAAGAGAGACAGTCCAAGTCTCCTGACACAGATTTCCACGTCTGTACTGTGTAACACTATTTGCTGGAGTTGCACGTTCTCCCTGTGCCTGTGTGGGTTTCCTCCCACAGACCCGCACACACATTAGGTTAATTGGTGATTATAAAATAGCAGTGGATGTGCAGTATAAGACAAATCAGTGTATGGATGACTGGTTGAATGTGACTTGTGGTTTAAAGCACTTCAGGTGGTAAGTAAGACTAAAGCGCAATCTAAATGTGTGCCATCAAGCTGCTGGCAGACTAGTAAGTAGACTGACTCATCTCCAGGAAGCTGCATGTCATAAAGACAAACTGATGAACAGTCTTCACATGACCTACGATCAGGCTCTGTGTTCTTAAGGCTGGTGTGGTAACCATTAAAGAATTAAATCTGGGGCATGATAAACGTCTGGGTTAATAAAAATGGAAAGATAAAATGACTAGTTATGATCATACTTGGTTACTTTTTATGCATTTTCCTTGGGGAAGTCAATAGGTTCTTAACTGCATGTGCTTATGTGTTGAGAATTTAATACTGTTCCCCTATTTAAGCAATTTAAATAACATGTTTTTAGGGAAAGATTGTCACATGCTGTTAACCACTATATTTTGCACAGCTAATACCTAGCGTATGTCCCTATTAACCCCTTTACATATATTAAAAACAGCTTAGAAATAGTATAACAAGTCAAAGAATACAGAATTACAGCCAAAACAACATATGACAGAGTAGAATTTTACATACTTGATTAATAACGATCTCCTTATCGCAACTAAATGTGACAGACTAAGTCCCGTCTTCTCTCACTAAATCTCAATTTGACTTTCTCCCTTACCAAGTCGGCTCTTTAAAGGTGACGATCATTTATTCCTGTTATGCGCTCATTCTCAAAAGTATAAGTCTCAAGCTGGTCCTCACAGAGGTAGCCATACAACCACTCGCCGAAGGGACACACGGGAAGTAGATCGTCTGCAGTTGAATAGAGCTGCCTATTGGTATGGTCGTTAGTCCGTCCAGATTTTGAACTCAGCACTTTTCTATTGAGAGGCTTTGGACAGTACCAGACTCTGGTACCCAACATGTTTCTTTGTGATCTGATGCTTACTGAAGCTCTTTATATTACATTTGAGTTTTAAAAAAGCCTGCACTGTTTTACGTGTCAAAGAAGGCATATCTGCCTGGGTCAGTGCTCTCAGCGTGAAATGACTGTAATATTATTCAAAGCTGCAATGAAAGAATGAAGTTTTCTATAAATTTGATAATGTATTCTTAAATAGTACAGGGATTTGTCACTGATGTTTGTAGTGTTAAAGATAAAGCCTGGTGATTGCCTGAGATGTCTTCACAATGTTTTGTTGTACATTTTCTGCAGATTTAGGTCTTAATTCAGTCTGCTTGTGCTCATATGGCTCTATGGAAAAGTCAATGGATTTTTTTCTGGTGCTTATCTTGACTGGAAATTGTCACTGTGATTGTGATTCTGATGTCCACGCTTCTCGTGTTTGCATCACCAGGAAGGAGTTTGTCGAAGGATGCAAGGCTATCCAAGCAGACAGCCTCGAAGGCATCTGTTCACGGTTCCCCTGCATGTTGCTGGAGGCCCAGGGTGAGGAGAACTTCAAAGACCTGTACCGCTTCACCTTCCAGTTTGGCCTGGACGCCGAGGAGGGGCAGCGCTCGCTGCAGCGCGAAATTGCCATTGCCCTATGGCGGCTGGTTTTCACGCAGGACACACCTCCGATCCTAGAGCGCTGGCTGGACTTCCTTTCAGAGAACCCCTCAGGTATTCGGGGCATCTCAAGGGACACATGGAACATGTTCCTCAACTTCACCCAGGCGATTGGGCCCGACCTGAGCAACTACAGCGAGGACGAGGCTTGGCCCAGCCTCTTTGATACGTTTGTAGAGTGGGAGCTGGAGCGCAGGAAAAAAGAGGAGGAGCAGGCACTAACAGCAAAGGAGGAAGAGGAGAGGTGTACTGAGACAGACTGCTCTCCCACCTCAGATAGACTTGAAACAGAGGGAAGCCGCGGCTCACAGACGTGGGGGGGCCACTGACCAGAAAACAAAAAAATATTTGTAAAGGAGGGAAGGATACAACCTATATGAGTGAACTATACATCTGTGAATCAATGGATGAATATTAGTATTACCATAACAGCTGTTCATTTTGCTCCCCTTTTTCTGTTGGGGTGGGGTTTCTGCTTTTCCAACCCTGTTTTTTGGTTTTTCAAAGGGCTCCAAGAACTGTTGTGTTTAACGCACTTCTATTTAAGTTATTGTTTTATTCTTCTGTCCTCCCATATTTGGGTTTTGTTTGTTTTTAGTAATTGGACAAGAAGTCCATTTTAACATACAACTACCTACCACAATCCAGCAAAATTAGCTCTTTTTAAAGCTCTGTTTCAAAGGGCAACACACGAGGTTCCCCCCTACAATTACAGAAAGTGGATTTCGACCTGTTAGTACCACTCATCTTGTACAAGGAAATGGTTATTGTAATAATAATAATAATAATAATGATAATAATAATAATAATAATAATAAAGACGAAGGGAAAATCGGGCAGCATGTCCACAGATAATTTACTACCACACACAAGATTTACCATAAGGGTAGGAGTCAGTGAAATTGGATTAATATAGTTGCATTGTATGTTTTTTTTATCTTGCAGTGCTGTGAAATTTGAATTGGTTCCACTTGAATTGCCTTCACAACTGTCTGCCTGTAATTACTCAACTAATAGTAATGGATTACAGTTCTGTAACAAGGGCATTTCATTTTTTTAAAAAATGATACAAACTTAAGTTTCAATATTAGTTTTAAATCCAAGTTGCTTTCCATGGTAACAGATACAACTTCTCATCTGTGTTGAGTGTTTTTTTTTTTTTTTTGAGTGCTTACAGTGCAGCGATCAGCTTAGCTTGTGTAAGCTGCTGCTGTACTCCGTTCTCTACCATTTTGTTGTCCACCTATTTTCAAGAAGCAGAAAATTTCATATACAACACAATGATGTTGCCTTTTTTTCCAATATAAGGAAACCTGTATCTCAACAAATCTATTAAAGCAAGGTCTTGGTCATTTCTGGTCAGAAGATGCCTAAGCCTGCGTTATATTCAGGATCATTACACTGGGCGCGACATGAAGCTTTATTGTATATTGTTTACTTTTGGGAGTTTGAAGCTTCACATTCTTGAACTGCTAAACAAAAATAAAAATAGAATATGTGCACACTTCACAAATAAAGTTGATTGCTGCTGGTGATGGTTGTAATAAATTGCACAAAAACCTATGGCATGCTAAGATGCTATACTTGGGAACGCTTTGCAGAGAGATTGATGTCAACCACATCGAAACCCTCTTCAAAAATGTTAATTAATTTTACCTATAGCTTAGAGGTTTTTCTTTTTTTTTTTGCCATGAGTGAGTGTTAATTAGACTGGTTAATCAAGAGTCTCCGATGGAGGTTCAGTGTAAGAGGGTGACCATAACCTGATTTGTCTGGTTTACAGCTACAATGGTTTTATTTTAACTCCCCCACCCCTCCTCTTCCCTTTTCCTTTTTTTATATAAAATGTATTGATTTATAATAAATAAAAACAGTGTTGAATTTTTGACCTTGAAAATTTGTCTCATTTCTCTTCAGTGATTTTACTTTTATGTAGATTTCTGCTGTGTTGCTCTGTTGGTGTCATAGGCAGTGCTTTAATACCAGTCAGATGGAGTGTGGCTGGGCAGTAGGAGGCTTTGTGGAGGCTTGTCGGAGCAGGAGGTAGAGAGCGGACCGGTTAGGGGCGTGGTTCTCTCTGATGCGGCTCTCGCCATTGGTGGACAGCTATCCTGGTTACCAACCAACACAACACTGGGCACATGAGAAACCACTAAAAAGCTCGTGAATTTCAAAGATAATGGTTATCAAAGTACTCTTTTTAAATGGACCGTGAGTATTTTTCTTGTATATATCAGAGCCGAAATAAAGTAAAGGCTTTCTGAGATTATGAAGACGGTACGCAGGTTTATATCCGTCTTTTAATAGTAGTTGGAGGCTAACTCGCTAGCTTTTTTAGTTTAGTTAAGAACGTCAGCACTGCTTTTACTGAGCTATCGGCTGCTTGCTAACGTCGCCTGCGCCACTACACCTACTAGTTAATTCATGCGATACAACCGCATAGGAGGTTGATTACCCGTTATCTTTCGCTTAAAGTTGACATAGTCAACAATGGCTAGCTCGTTAGCTCTTAATAGCATAGAAATTATTGTAACAGCAACGCTACCCGACAAGCCAACTCGAGTGCTGATGAAAACAAAATCCTGAGGTTTTTTAAAACGAGTTTTGGTCAACCCCTGCTTAAAATAAGATGCTAACGTTAACACAATCGTGAATGTTTGGTATTTGGTCCCTTGAATCGGCCAGCGGGTGTGGCGACATTTTCCACGAGCTGTACTCAAGGTACTTTAGGTTTCATGTCACGGCTAACCTCAGGGTTATCATGTGTGTCCCGCTACAGTGATGGACAAATACGACACAGATTTGAGGGATACGTTTTGAACAGGAGTGATCGCCTCTCTTCAGAAATATGGGATAGGGTCATGTGAGCAGCATCATCTGCAATCACACGATGGATAACGAGGTAATGATAGCTTTAAGTTCAGATCATCTGCCATTTTACTTTACGTGATACACTTTTCATTAAACACTGTAATTTTCACGACCATGAAACTCTAAAATAAAGGCATGCCAATTTGTGCACCAGTATCTGAGCTGCCACCCTGTCTCTATACTCTGTCACTAACAAGTATTTTCTACCCTTGCTTCTCATATCTCTGCCTCCCTTCTGCTCCTGACCTTGACAGATGCTGTAGCCTAGTTGACTTGTAGAAACTGAGTAAGGCTTTGTGATTTCTTTGTTCATCTTGCATGTTTCTTTAAAAATGTATAACAAATGAAACAGCATGAGCTTTAGGCGATTGTGTTATGCAGTCAACCAGTGCTCCCTCCAAGACCCACTTTTCATTTAATCTGCTTAATTTTACTGCAGCCAGCATTATTAAGCTTAAAGCAGGCAGACATCTGGTCTTTTAATAAGGGCCATTTCATTTCAGCTGAGTGCAGAAATGTCTGAACAAGATGTATGCTGTCAGGGTGGTAGAACCCGTAGTGGTCCTCACTTTGGGATTTTTGGTTTAACGTGACAGATATCGTTTTACAATCCATCACTTGAACTACAGCTAAAGAGCTACACTTCATGCACTGTGCACACATTATTGCAGGATGTGATCACCACTGAGGATATAGTAGGGCTGCCTTGTGAAAAAGTGGCTGAATTTGACAAGCCATGCAAGTATTGGGATCTTGGCCCATGCTGAGTCAGTAGTTTCAGCATGAGAGCTCAGCTTGGGCTCATTTTTTTTGGCAGTATCTTTTGCTATGATCAATTGTGTGGCTTCATATAAAAATTGAGAGTTTGCGGTTCTTTAGCAGCAGATATTGTAGAGACTAATACTGTGTTAAGTCTATCAGGTGCTGCTTTACAAATAATCATTTTTTATTATGGTCCTAACCAATAAAACCTTTCTTAATTAATTTCTCCATCACCCATTTAACCTTAGGCTACATCCTGACTAAATGTTTTTAAATCCAACCGTAACCCCTGTGTCATGACACATTACACGTCCTTCACTAAAGCTTTAGTTCCACACTCGGCGGAGGAGCAAGTTGCTTGCATAATTGTGGTGATGCACGCAATAAAGTGAATGTGCATACCTGTGCAAGAATGAGTTGTATTATGACAATTTGTTGCCCACAAACCGCTGATGTAGGCCTTTCCGACCTTTCATCGTGTGTGTCTGTTTACTGACGCGTGTGTTCTTGAAGGAGAGTAAGACGTGCCAAGGAGAGAAGCTCGCCTCTGCTGTAGATGACACTCTGGATGAATATTTAATCGCCCTCCAACACAAAAACAGGTGAAGTGTTAGCGCAGGCTGCCGGGGAAGAGACAGATTGGATTTCACAGGGGAAACGGACAACTCCTGCATGACTTTCAGTGCTGCCTAATTGGAGCACTGATTGGCTTGCCTCCTTCCCTTGAGAAACAATACATATATTTTAAAAAGTAACATAGCTTGGAATTGGAATGTGTCATGTTGCATCCTTTGTTAGCCACGTCAAAACTGTGATAGGATTTGCTATATTTTCGAAAGCTATTTATTAGCTCTTTATTTGTTCTCCAGGCTCTTAAAGCGCCTTAAAGTCAAAGACCCCAAGGAGATTGAGTTGGAACGGCTAGAGCAAGGTTTCTCAATTTATCTTAATGGAGCCAATGCCGAAGCCAGTAGGAAGCAAGCCAAGGGCTCCAACCAAAGGTCTCCCTCCTCACAGCCACCTTTGAGGCCTACATGTACAGCAGGTATGCTTTTGCACTTAAACTCAAAACTAGATATTCTTATATAACACTTGATTTTTTCTTCTTCTTATTTATTTAATTTTTCTGAATCTGCCATGCAGGCAGAGGTATTGTTCTTGAGTGTTCAGTCATGTTTAGGAGAAATCAAAGGTACTATCTCATGCTCTTTTTTTGTTGTTGCTACTGTCACCCATAAACCATACGGAAAACCAGCTAATAGCCACCACTCCTCAGCTTGTAGTTTGTGTGACAGGATCCTGTGCCCAGTCCCAGTGAATAAATGATAGTGACAGTTGTAGCTGGCAGGCAGTTTTTTCGTCTTCCTCTCTGTGCTGTGGACCATCTGCGTATGTGACTGTGTGTTCCTTCTCCTCCGAGGCAGTAGTCTGCTGCACGCTGCTCATGTTCGTTTCTGTGCTGTGACTCATCGGCAGATGTCTGTAGAAGCGCCCACCAGCTAACTGAAGACAGTAGTAAACTGGAGCAGACCCACAGGAAGAGAAGCCACACTGCCCCAGGAAAGGTCCAGAGGAAAGAATGGGTGCAGGTGCAGCCATCTGATATCCTTATCCTATCTGTATTAACTCTTATTGTTCAGCAGAAATAGACATTTCCTATTTAAGGACACATGTTTGATATTTCCTCTTTTCTATTATGTGCAGGATCCTGTTAAAATTCGAACAGAGGATGGACCAAGTTTGCTAATCTCCCCAACAAAGCGCTACTCTGATGATTTTGAGCCCTATGAAAGCATAGACATGGAGGTAGAGTGAAGACATAACAATGCCTACTAAGCCTGTATGTGTGGGTGTTTTATTTTTAGGGGAGGGACTATGTGCCAGATGCAGCTGTCTGTAGTACTTAGCATCTCTCTATCTCTGCTATTTCCCCTTTATCCAATCATCACGTTTTATCCAGAGCTCCAGTCCACGCTCCCCTCGTAGTCCCTGCTGCCAGAGGAACACCTGCAAGGTGTCGCACTCTTTCAGCTCCAGGCCCGAGAGCCGAGGAGACCAGGAGCACAGTGAGAAGGTACTTCTCAACCTTGAGGAAGTGAAGGTGAGTGAATGAAAATGTACGCGTTTTTTTTTCTTATGTCTTCTTGTCGAAGATGAATTAGATATAGAGAATCGTCGTAATTTGGTTTATGCCTGTTGGTGGGAATTTATTTCACTTTTTAGTGGTAGTTTGTCAAATCACGAGGATGGTTAAACTGTCAGTATACAGGTCTGTGCCTGTGAGTGCGCAGGACGATGACTTGTGCATGGATGAATATATAAATGCTGACCTTTGCAAACTAGGTTTTGCGTCGAAGCCTGGAGGTTAGCATGCGACGGAGCAGTCGTGGCTCAGCTGGGGAGGAGTCAGATGAAGAGTGGGTAGAGGAGCAGATTGAGAGGGATGAGAGCACAGAGAGTCTGGATGAACTGGGGCTGCCTCTCCCCTCCTCCAAGTCATCCTCCAACAGCTCTCGGCCCAGTGGCTCCCAAAGCCATTTTGACTCAACGAACCTCATTGTGCTGGACTTTGGACCCTCACCTAAAGGTAGGCTAATATGGAAATTTGTTATTGATTTAGGGCGAAGCAAGAGAGGTAACATCCCCTGCTTTTCTGCGTCATCAGCACTGACCTAAGGATGTTGTCAGCATATGAAAAGAAGCATCTATTCCTGATCTTAATCAATTTCCTTTATTTTTCCAGGTCGTAAGATCGAGCGTTCACTGTCTGCAAAAAGGAAAGAAAGTGTTGAGACTTTTATACCCACCAAACCTATGTTGGTGAAGAGCAAGACATTAGATAGGCCACCTTCAAAAGAGAGCTGGGAAGGTCAGAGTAAGTCATGTTTTACAAACTCATCTCCCGTTTTTGAATGAAAATGTAGCTGAGATATTCCATTCCACCTGATTGTTGCTGGATAAAAAATGTGTATTTTCTGCTTAAGGGCCGAGGAGTCGGGTGGAGAGGCCGCTGTCGGCAAATAGAAAGTCTTCTGTCGAGGACCGGGACCCAGAGGAGGTTGCAATCAGGGTACGCCAGGCCATACAGAGAGAAAACAACCCAGTGCAGAGTGCAGAACTCTTCAGTCAACACACGGTCTGCCTGAGCCACACTTCACTTCTTACATCTGTTATTACACCTCATTTTCATCTGTAACTGTATACTTTGCATACTTTTGATTTTATTCAATTGAATTTTCCTGGATTTGACTCACATGTGAATCTTGTCCCTTACATATATTTTTCACATCGGTTTGATTTGGTTTCTTTGTCCTCTAGGTCAAGGGACATCAGGTGATGAATGGTTTAGTGCACCACAACACTCACAACAAGGATGACAACAATGTCACTCTGGCCATGCAGAGAATCACACTCATGGGTCCCAGGTATGGTGACAGAAAAAGATACTTAAACACTCAGGAACAGAACGCTAACAGTCACAGTGTACTATGAAACAATTTTGATATAACTCAGGGGTGGCCAATTCCAGGCCTCGAGAGCCAGTGTCCTGCACCTTTTAGATGTGTCACAGCTGATTTAAATGGCTAAATTACCTCCTCGACATTTCTTGAAGTTCTCCAGTGGCCTGGTAATAAACTAATCATTTGATGATGGTGTGTTTTGACCCAGGGTGTTATCTAAGACTTGACCAGCTCTCGAAGCCTGGAGTTGGCCACCCCTGACATAGCTGGACTTTCTTTGCAGTAGGTGGTTCAACAGAACCTATAAGCCCAGCAACAAAGAATGGGTATTATGATGGTGATTATTAACTTTCTTTGTTATCCCAGGCTTTTCAGTTAAGACCGTATGTGCACACTACAATAAAAGGCATGTGTAACATGTTATTGGACTGTTCTTCCACTAAACATTAATCGATCAAGTAATGCCTACTTCAGTCAGAGACATTACCAGAGATACCAGTTACTGCCTTATTTTCAGGGTGAGTGAGCGCTAATCAGCTAGCTGTCTCCCATTTCTCTCTGACAGACCGATCAGGTTCATTTTGTGACGTTTCTTGAGGCATTTCATCAGATTTAACTAACATCTTTGACTGCAGCTGGTGAGAGGAGTGCTTGCTCTGTGCTGTAGATTTGCTGCAAGCTGGAGGATCACTCTAACCAGAACCTGCTGCAGGTGCAAAACTAGTTCATGGGCTACCATTCAAAGTTCACAGAGCCTGTAGAGCAGAACAAGGACTGTTTCACCAGCTGCAGTTTAAGACAGTGGAAGTGGAGTCTGTTCACATGATGAAGAACTTACTGTAGAGGCAGCTGATTATTGCACCATATGTATATGACATTATTTATCAGTTTCTTTAAAAAAATCATACATGCCTCCTTTTGCGTGCATATTGTGTGTAAATGCAATCTAATTCAATCAATTCTGTTGGAAACACTGGAATATTTGTTCAACCATGATCCAGTTAAACTTGATGCGTGACACAAATTCAATTCTAACCCAGTACATAATCAAGGAGGCATTGAAATCAGTTTAATTTTTGGCCATACCAAAGTGAAACTAATCTTCTTGTGTGAATATTTTTTTGTAATAAACAACAAGGAGTCTTTACTCTGTGTTATGTTGGCTCTATTACCAGACCAAGCGGGCTGTGACTTCACAGCTTTGTTTGTTGGTGTTACAAATGTTCGCCTCAACAGGTTGTGTATCTGCAGAAAATCTGTATAACTCATAGAGCACATCAGCAAGAAATGAATAAGTGAAAATGTTGCATTTACACCCAGTTTTATTGGTGGTATTTGAATCTGTCCTCTGTGAGAGCGTATAAAGTGTCCAGCACAAGTTACTATGGTGATGTATCCAAAAAAAGAGCCACCTGACATCAAAATAGTCTGACTTTAGGCTCAGCATACCTTGCTGACTCATTAATCTCACTTCCTAGTACATCTCGTTATTGCCTGTGGTAATTCTGTAAATGCTTTGATGTTATAACACCTACTGGTTGAAATATAACAATCAGTGTATACCCAATGACGTTGAAATTATGTATGGATTTAGCTACTGCAGTGTCTTTTAATATGAAGATTGAGGATAAATAAATAAATGGAACGATAAACAGAGCAGGCAAGCTAAAATGTCGTCATTCTTTTATTCAGTCAACAACAGAAACTGCTGAAAGCCTTGGAGAAACTTGAAGGTGGACCTGGTTGCAGCATCCCTCAAAGTGTGAAAACAGACTACACCAAGCAGCCGGTGAGCTAATGACACACTTTCCCAGATCAGAATGAATAATCCTGATGCTGTTGGGTGGAATACATCTGAACTGCCCACTTTCAGCTGTAACAAAACAAATTTCCCACGTGTGGGACTAATAAAGGTTATCTTATCTTGTCTTGTCTTAATGTTTTGTATCGCTGTTGCAGAGAAGGCAGTCGTCACCAGAGTACACACCTGCATTGTATGTTACCATGGAGATACTGTCAAACTGGGGGAACGTGCTGCAGGTCGGGCTGACTGAGTTGCAATTCTTCTGCCTCAGAAACAAGAAGCTTTACGTGTCGCCTCATGACTTAGACATCAGGAATGCTGACTTTCCTGGTAATTTGGGGGCACTCGTCAATGGGAAAGTGAAGGTCAGTCTCTTCTGCTGTAGAGTGTGTGTGTTTGTGTGTGCGTGTGTTGTAATTTATTCCCCATCTTGTGGGAAATAAATAAGTTGCCATTATGAAAAAGTGGCTGTTTTGAGTTCTTTATCGTTTTTCATTGCACTACTTTTGAAAGTTTAACAAGCACAAAGTTTGTGTGACACAGCAACTAAACATCAGCTGCTCCCATCAATAAATGCCACAGCACTTGCCAAGAGACCATTGGCAGCCAACAAGGCCACAATCAGCTAGTACTGATGTTCAGACTATATATCTGTCCATCCTTGACTTCTTATGAATAAGTTGCTGTTTTTGTTTTTCATTTTGTTTTTCTTCTCTTGGTTTGACAGACCACCAAAGACCGTCATATGTGGACGTGTCCGTTCCACCCACCCATTCAGCTCTACTTCATCATCAGGAACACCGAGCGCTCTCCAGACTTTGGAATATCTTGTATTAAAATCTGGAACTACAACAGAAGCTTCAATGTATGTGTATTCAATAAATTTTATATCAATTCTTCAACACAATCAGTTACAAACTGTTTGATTTCTGTTGCATGCTGATAGATGGTGCGTGATTGTGCGTTTCCATTATAACAGTGGATGACTGTATTGGTTTGGTTACGTCACAGGTGCGTTGCTCTTTAAGCAGTGGCTGTCTGAGCTGCCACTCAGTCTGTCCAAATGTGGAACAGTGAGAGATTAGCCTCGGAGGATTAGTGTAACATGGGCTTCTGCCTGTCAGCGTCTCTGCTGTTAAGAAGGGGCACAAAGACCCCGGGTTTTCCTAGTTTACACCGACCATTAGTATTTAGCAATATTTGTACCGGACTGTGAATAAGAGCTTGAACCTGTAAGGTAAGGAGTTTGGAGTATTTTCTAGACTTCTCTGGGTTCATAGTGGTTTATTGTCTAGAGGATCAAAAGGTCGCAGTTGCACTAATTAGCAGCTAGCTAGCATGTTAGTCAATAGTGTGTTTTATGAAATTAGATTTTTTTTAAATACTCTCATCAGGTTGCAGCTTGTGATCCTTTTGCTTGAATTTTAATCAAACATTCATTATACAGAGAAATGAAATGCTAAATATTTTCCCACCGTTTGGTTTTACAGCTTCACTCAAATGTTTGGTGTTAATTCTGTGAAGAATTGAAATGTGAAAATCATTATTTCTTCATTTCGTGACATAATTTAGTGCTTAAAATCAAATGCTTTTGAAACTGTTAAACATCCATCTAAATTAAAGTCGCTTTTAAACTGATGTGCTGTATCTTTGCCAGGAGCTTGACGTAGGTGCGCGACATATAAAGCTGTACCTGAACAGCACGTTGGTGTTTGAAGGTGAGCTGGAGAAGGGCTGTGGCAACCAAGTCTTTGACTACAGCACCACAATTGATCTTCAGGATTGCCAGGTCTCCGACTCTATGTTTTCCAGCCCTGTGGCTTCAGGACACAGTCTAAGAGGGGCCACTCCCCTTTGCTATGAAGACAGTAAGGGTGGAGAGGGTAGCATCTCCCAGAGATACCAAAGTTTGAATGCATTGTCTGACACAGCAGGCCAGAATGTGGTAGACATGCAGGAGAAATCACATACACCGCTACCACCTATCACTGCTTCTGTGGGAGTTTCATCCTCTACTCGTCACTCCTCGATACAAAGGAGCTCTTTTGACCTGTCTGCCTCAGAGGAGGCCCACTCTCTCAGGCAGCAGGTGGAGCAGTCTGCACCCATAGAGCAGACAGTCACCACCCAGCCATCCTCCTCACGGGTTGCCCCGCAGTGGCTGCAGCCTCTGAACAGAGGTGCTCCAGAGGGATGTGAGACCAGCAGGGAGAGGCCACGGTGGCTGGTACCCCAGCATTCTTCAGAGCTCAAACAGCCATCAGCGTCATCCTCTTCCATGCTCCCAGAGTTGCCATGTAACCCAGGACGTGTGTGCAGAGGGGCGGAGAGGACGGCGAATGGGGTTCAGTGGAAGGCTGACTCTTTGGACCTGAGCTGCGACCTGCTTGAGGAAGTCGCGGAGCAAAGGTCAGACAGGCCCATCAGCGGACGGAGGAGCTCATTCAGAAACTCCACAGCCAGTGTAAGGCAGACAGAAGAACAACACCACAGAGCTACAGCACTGACAAACGCTGGTATGCATTGTCAGAATTTTCATACTGAAACAGAGAGACAAATCTGTATATATGGCTACTCCAGCCTTTCTATAAATTTAGCTCTATTTCATCTTAAAAAATATCAGGGTATCATCAGTCAGGGTAGGAGTTTTTATTACCTTATCAGTCCTTTCAAAGGAAATCGTATCCACTGATTAAAAATACAAAGGAATATACTTTTGGAGACTTTAGGAGAATAACATAACTATGTATATAGTTTAGCTAACTAGAGTCTCGATTCTCACCTTACTGGCAGTCATTTGTTAAATCTAATCATTGTCATTCTTTTTGCTGTTGATTACTTTGGCAAATATATTACTGCTCTTTAATCTTACTGATTTATTTGCATTGGGTTCATTTATGTAAAAATTTAAGTGGATATTTAGTGAAATACACAGACTTATAGATTTTAGTTATATTTGATGTCGGACAATTCTTACAGGCTAATTTCTTTCCTTTTGGTTTGTTAGTAATTTATAGTCTAATGTTTGTGTGTTCTCCAGATGAGCCCATGTCTTTGGTGAGTGCTAGCAGAAGGCAGAGTAGCTCTCGGGCCCGGCTGCACAGTCAGCAGGATGACACCCTCATGGAGTCCTGGGATTCTCTCACTAAGTTCAACCAATGTCAGCGTGGACGCATCTCCAACATGGCGTTCGAAGGCGACATATTTGATGAGTTTCTTCAGCGCCAGAGCTGTGGTCCACCCACAGTCCCACCCATCTCTTCTTCATCACCCAGAAGCCCTCTGTCCTCCTTAACCACTCAGGGGACACTTTGCGAAGGCCCTGATGACGATCCATCCATGGAGCGGGAGGACGAGTTTGAGATTCCAGTGTTGCCGCAAGGCCAAAGGCTGGTAATCAACATTTTGTCCACCTGGGGTGATCGTCACTACGTGGGTCTCAACGGCCTGGAGGTTTTCAGCTCTAGTGGAGAGCCTCTCCGACCTGTTCACATCCACGCTGACCCGCCAGACATCAACATTCTCCCAGCATACGGCAAGGATCCACGCGTAGTCACCAACTTAATCGATGGCATCAATCGGACTCAGGATGACATGCATCTTTGGCTAGCCCCGTTTACTCCTGGTTGTAGCCACACCATTTTCATGGACTTTGGAGTGCCCCACAAAGTGGCCATGATCCGTGTGTGGAACTACAACAAGTCGCGCATCCACTCATTCCGAGGCGTGAAAGAGGTAGAAATGCTTCTGGATGGAAGGTGCATCTTCAGGGGGGAGATTGCAAAAGCGTCTGGAACTCTTTCTGGAGGTATCTGATCAGAACAACTTCACAAGAGTTTATGCTCCATTGTGTGTTATTTTTTTGACCAACTTATCCTTTATTCATGCGCTCAGGACTGGACCAGTTTGGCGACACTATCCTCTTCACCACTGATGATGAGATACTGGAGGCTATGTCTCGTTATGATGAGACCTTCCTTAGTGAAGGTGAAAGTCCTGAGAGCATGGTGTATGAGGAGGAGCTGCAGAGACCACGCACTGCTGATGGAGAGGGAGAGGAACGACCTTTTACCCAGGCTGGTTTCAGAGAGGAAGACCTCACCGTAAGTACTAGGCTCATTTGAGAATTTGAATCATAAATTCATAAAGCAACTTATTCCAAAGTGTGACAGAGTTAACTTTCATTATGTGGCCCCAAATGATCAGAGCAGACAGGCACAAAGGGCAAACTAGCCACACCGTCAACAGGACTGTGTGGTACAGTTATGCTTTAAATGCAATGTTGTTTTGTTTTAGCTGAAACTTCAACTCAACTCTACTATGAGCCAATCTGAAGAGAGCTTAGAGCTCATTCCTGGGATGCACACAGGAAAGTGTGAGTACATCAGTCATATCCTGTCATATTATGGTTGCCTCTCTGTTTTTGGCTTTGTGTTTTGGATATTTCTGGATGCTTACAGTCTGTCTTATCCCAGGCCTTAGACTGGAAATGACCTTGACATGGGGCGACCCCCATTACATGGGCCTGACAGGACTGGAGATCGTGGGGAAGGATGGAGAGACTTTACCTTTAGATCTTAGTATGATCGCTGCTTCACCCAGGGACCTCAACGACCTACCTGATTATGGACATGACCTGCGCACACTTGATAAGTATGCCTGACACTAAATGTAACATGCCCTTTGATATTACAGTTAAAGTCCAGGCAAAGATTACATCATTATTATGTAAGATACAGTGTATAATGTCTACTGTCATTATTTAGACTTATTGAAGGCCACAACATTACCACCGATGACCAGCATATGTGGCTGATTCCTTTCTCCTATGGAGAGTCCCACACCTTGATCATTACCTTCAGCAAGGCCCAGACCATCGCTGGTCTCCGTTTCTGGAACTACAACAAGTCTCCCGAGGACTCTTACAGAGGGGTGAGACACTTTCTGCCAGGCCAAACCCACATTTGTTATGATGCAGAATAAAGTTTACTTCAAATACTAACGTGTTTATGATATTTCGTACTTTACATGATAATTTGTAAATTAACAAAATATTGTGAACTGAATTAGTGCCACTTCCTTCAGGTGGAGTCAGATCAGCTGATAATTTTGAACAAGTATAATTCACATATTACTTAAGGCCATATTCTGCTTTGCGGTTATAAAAGGTCTGTGGTTACAAAGTCCAAAGTCCAGTTTTAATACATGAAGTATCAGACCACATATTAGCTGACCAATCAATGTAGACTGGGCCCTTCTGGGGTTGGAGGGTTTAAAGAGACAAGAGATAAAATACTGTGTGAGAGAAATAACAACAATATTACAGTGTTTTATGAAAATGAATGTATGGAAACACACTGTAGGACACCCTTAATATGGATTTATGAAGCTGTGAATCTGACTTAAAAAGGGCTTCTGATTTGTACAAAGAACAGTACGTGCTGAAAAAATGATGACTGTGTATAATGCTGAAAAGCATGGATTACTTATTGTGACAGATTTTTATTTTTAACCACAGAAGTTCTTTGCAGAGCACTTTATGCATCTTATAAAACATAAAAATGTCCACATGTTTGGTTCAGGTGAAACTGATTCATCTGTTCTTGGACGATGTTCCTATCTCACCAACGGAGGGATTACTGATCAGGAAGGGACCGGGCAATTGTCACTTTGATTTTGCCCAGGAGATTCTCTTTGTTGACTTTCTCCAGACTCCAGCTGATAACAGGAGTAACGAAGACTACCACAGGTGAAGACCAGAGTATGAGTTTGAGTAAAACTGCTGTTTCATCAGAAATTC